CAATAATTCAAAGAATTTATCTTTGTTCACCATAGCATGGTTTGTATTACCGAAAGATCTAAATCAGGGTTAATAGGTGTCTAATTGACTAAATGATCGCACAGCCATACAAGTAAATCTTACATAGATAGCCCTGAAAGTAAAGGAAAAAAGGAACTCTTCTGCAATGAGCTCATCTCTAAGACATATTACTAGATGAGAAAAATAGACTGCAGAACAAAGCTTAAAATGTACTGACACTAACTGTCAAAAAGTAAGTTTTGGTGTGTGTATGAAGATACACACATGCACACATTTACAAACACACTTATGCTTGTGTATACGTAGCCTTTTCTGGAAGGATATACAAGAAAGGAAAATCATTGCTTGTGGAAGATTAGGAGATTATAAATCTGAGGTCAGAAAAATATCTTTGTTTCGTTGTATACACTTTGTACTGCTTGAAATTGTGGCTTTTGGTATTTTTTGTTTTAGTCAACAATGTATTACTTTTTAAACTAAATAATGAATTAGAAGAAAGAAGAGAAAGATATTAGGCCTGCAAAAAGTTGTAATCGAACGAAGTTGGCCTCCATTTTTCTAACCCAGATTTGGCCTACCTAGATTTGACTACAGCAAGGGGTGGTGTGTGTGTGTGTGTGTCTGTGGTTGTACTTTCATAATTAATGAATCTAGTGAAAATGTAAACTAAAAAGAATCCTGTTTTCTCTCTATTTCACACTGGATCATCTTTTACTTGATGTTATTAATTTACCCAACAGCCATTGACTAAGAACCTCCTAACTTCCCTGCACCATTAGATGCTGTGGGAAATACCCCGGAGGTGGAAAGAGAAATTCCTTCCTTCATGTTACTTATAGCTAACAGAAGAAACAAGAAAGTCCAAATAACAACCCAGGAGTTTAATAATTCATCAAGTCCATTCTGTTACAAGCCTCTCAAAAGAGCTTTTTTGAGATATCACACTATCACCAGGAAGTCAGCAGGGGGCACCTCAAACACATCTCCTATTAAATATGGCTAAGTTCATTTTCAGACCAAGGCTTTGACAAGTTGGGTCTGAAGTTTTCTCTAAATGTGAAACCATCAGCAAAAAATATTCATGATCTTGCATATTTAAATCAGTAACTAGGTCTCATAGAAAATTTTCTTTTTTCTCCTACATGAACTTAAAGTTTCATGTTTTGTTTTGGAAAAGGGGGAAAACTACTTGTAAATGAACACAGGTTATAAATCCAATGAGTTATTTGTGGGACACTCTTTTTAGTTTTTATGAGCTGTCTTCTAGAAAAGACCTGCCGCCTTCTCCCCCTTGACTCCACAGTTCCTCCGTAACAGCATACGAATGGTGTTTTCTGTCTTTTTTCCTTTGCCATAAAGCCTCATTCTGGATGCACCATTCCAATGCATTGGCCTTTTGTTTTTTCATTCTGTATTTTTTAAAAATTTTCTTTTATTTCTCTCGACTCATTCAGATAGATTTTTTCTTTCTTTCCTTCTTTTTTTAAAAGATGATTTCTCGTCAAGTTGCCCAGGCTGATCTTGAACCCACCGGCTCAGGCAATCCTCTCACCTCAGCCTTTCAAAGTGCTGGGATTATAGGCGTGAGCCACCGCGCCCTGGCTTCAGATAGATCTTTAATGCTGATAATAAAATATGATTTCTTTCTCTCTCTTTGTTCTTTTGTTTTGTTTTGTCTTCTATTGTTTTGGGAAGGGAGAAAGGTATGGATATTCCCAACTCAAGAAAACTAAAATCCTTAAAACGTGTCCAGATAATTTTATACCATATGTTTATGGTTTGAAGTAATTCATTCCACACCCTACAAGCTCCCAGATCCCAAAGCTGCTGATCTCAAGCTCATTCTCATCGATATATCATCATCTCTGTCCATATCCAGTTTGTGCTAGAATGTAATACTGAGATATGAGTGAGTGGTGGTGGCACAGCCCTCTGTAACAACTTTTAGTAAACATCTTAGTTTATTTCTTATTTAAAAAGTCAATATATGTAAAATATTTTAATATTCATGATTTTGTATTTTTAAATGTTATTTTTATTAGCATCCTTTTTTTACATTAAATATAATTTTTGTGATAGAGACCAGATCCACCCTAGTACTGATATTCTTTAGAGTCCACTTAAACATTTCATCATATTTTAATTTAGCAGAGAAGTCACAAAATAATCTGCACTAAAATATGTATGTACAAAAATTTGTGCTTCCCAGACTTTTCTGGTTTGGAATACAGTAATATTAAAATATAATACATTGAATATATTTTCCTTCTCTCCTGGGATCATCAATGAAAAAACGTTTTATGATTTGTGGTTATTATTATTTATTCCCTGAGTTCCATCCTTCCTCATCTGTAGAATGAGAATATTTTTCAGTTAGAAGTTTTTTTAATAATAATTAAATGCAGTAAAAGATGAAAGGTGCCTAACTGTGAAAATAGCAGGCCCTCAGTCAAAATAAAACACATGATAGCTAGCTAGCTAGCTAGATAATGCTTCCCTACATCTGGAATTTCTGGTTGTTTCATTAGTTATGCACATTTAACCTTTTACTTTGTTTTTAACTTATAGCAGGAGCAAGTGTCCTGTTACAAGGGCACTGTTTTGTTAAACGTTTATAAAATGTGTAGCTTCTTTCGACCTAAAACTTTTAGTCTGTTACAAAGCAAATGCCAATTATGGAAAGAGTCAAGCCTCAAGCTATTGGAGGACAAATAATCTTGCAGACATTTGGACGAGGCGCTTCTCTAACGCACAGGCACTCCTGACCAGAAGATCATATGAGTTTCTGCGTGAGAACGCAGGCACCTTGATCGCTCCCAGCTCAGCCAATCAGGGGAGAGCATTGCTGCCACACCCACCTGCTCACGGCCTGCCCAGGGATAGGTGCCAGCCTGTCTGGTTTTCTCCCAGGCTGAGCTGCTCTCAGTCCTCCTGGAAATCTCTGCAACTCAAAAGGACGTGCAGAGTAACGACACAGTCCACTCCAAAACCGGTTTTATATTTTAAAATATTGTGTACTTCAACTCTTGAGTGCTTTGATTTTTATCTGTTAACCTGGGACATCATATAGAAAATATCTGATATGCATCAGACTTCCTTTTAGCAGTTACATAAAATCTCCTTGCAGTTCTCTGAAAAACACAGAAATGCAGTTCGGTGTGGTTGTCTTATCAAATGACATTTATGCATGAAAACGGGCTGCATGAATAGCCTATGTAAGATAGCGGGCATTTCTGCACTTCTGTTTATACGCCAATTATACCATCCAATGCAATCGCACTCATCTTGTGTTATTTTCATAATTAGAGTTTACCATATAATTTTTGGAGGACTGCCATAATAATTACTCATCTCCTGCATGGTCTGTTCTGCTACTTCTAAAGTTCTTCCATGGGATTTAATTTTTGACAGATTTCAAGAGTGTCTACATGCTCTGTAGGATAGAATAAATGTGCACAATATATTAATGAATAATTCCAGTATAGGATAGTATATTGTGTTGTGGCATTGAATGCATGAACTTAAAGGTAGAAATCTATCATACAGAATAGCAAATTTTGAATGATTTGGGTATTATCAGCTCTTATTTTATTTTTTGAGAAAACTTAGTAAGTGAGCCTGGGACTAAAAAGTCTTTCATTCTTCTGACCCACAATTGAATATTGTCAGTGTGTGTGTGTGTGTGTGTGTGTGTGTGTGTGCGTGTGTGTGTTTGATGGAGGGAGGATTAGAAGACGCATTAAAAATATTCACACCAGTAAAGATAGTGGATTGGAGTTTCCAATTTTCTGAGTTAGCTATAAGGTGGAGAGTATAGAGTTAATTGTCTCAGATATAAGGTCGAGAGTATAGGTATACCTCAGCTATAAGGTGGGAAGTATAGAGTTAATTGTCGTTCTAGCTAACACAAATCACTTATATTTAAAAGGATGTGTGAAGATATTCTGAGCATTTTGGCAGACAAGCACAGTATCCAATGCGATTTACTTTTATGTGCATGCCTCAATACACTTTTAACAGTAGCTTTACTGAGATGTAATTTACATACCACACAGGTCACCCATTTAAAGTGAGAAATTCAATGGTTTTTTAAAAAAGTATATTTACAGAGTTGTGAGTTGTGCAACATCACTTGACTGTAATTTTACATTTTCCTCACCCTTCCCCAAACCTCCCCATTCTGATCCTTCCCTACTCCCCAGTTCCAGGCAACCACTAACCAGCTTTCTGTCTCTATAGATTTGCCTGTTTGTGGACATTTAAAATGGAATCATACAATGTGACTGTCTTCTTTCGCTTATCACGACTCAATAGAGTTTTAAATTGTTTGACCTCGATGTTGTGCCTCTGAAGATTAAAACGTTATGCTTGCATTTTTTGATGAGTTTGAGGATTGAGTTCAATTTGCATGAAACAAAAATTAGAAACTAGTTAGAGCAGGTGGGCTTTTCTCCACCACATAAGCTAATCCATCTTGCCAATATCCAAGTACCTGCTTATGTTTCCCTGTATCCCTACAGTGACTTTGGGGAGGGGTGAGAGGAGCCGGAGATGAAGGGGAGGCGGTAGTACTGCAAGTTAACAAAGCATTCATCAAAAGAGGAGGTCAAAATACTGACCAAATATAGTTGAGCACCCAAACTTCCCCTCCTTGGAAAACTGGCGATTGTCGAGTATTTTCAAAAAATGGATATAAATCTGTCTTGGGCTTACGCAGTGGGCCCCTCAGGCTAAGCAAATAGAAACCTAAGAGAAAGCGAAATTTCCTTTCCGCCCTTTCCCCCTCTTCTCGCTGGCAGCGTTGGTCCTCATCACTGTTTGCTCAAATGCTTGGGAGTGCATTCAGGGCCCTCCCCCCAACTTCGGATTTTATAGCCAATAGGTGATGAGGTTTATTTGCATATTTCCAGTCACATAAGCAGCCGTGGAGTGGAAACAGTGTCAGACTCGGTTTCTCCTCCTCCTCCTCCTCCTCCCCCTCCTCCTCCTCCTCCAAGGAAACCTGCCACTTCTAGTCGCCCTGCCCTTTCCTTTCAAGGGAGACTTGCCCAGCGCCGGCCCGCGCGGCTCCAGCCCTCGAGCGCCTCCGGCTCGGCGCGTCCATCAGTGCGTCCGCGCGGTGCAGCTCCGACAGGGGAACGCGCGCGAGATGGGGAGCAAAGGCTTGCTTCTGGTAGCCCTGGCTGTGTGGCTCCAGAGTCTGACAGCCCCCCGCGGAGGGGTGGCCGCCACCAAAGGTAAGTTTTGCGCGCAAACTGTCCTTCACCTGCAGGCCCGGCTGGCGGCCGCTGCCACCCGTCCTGAGGATGGGAGGAAGTGGGAAGGGGTTGCGGATGCGCTCGGGGCCTCTCCCTGGCCAAGCCACGGCCCCGAGAAGGGTCACCGGAGTGGGATCCAGGAGGGAACCTCCCTCCGATTGTGCTGCGGCGGCACTTAGTTCCCGCTTTTGCGATCTCGCGGGTTCCCGCGCTACCCTTTCCACTCCCGCGGCGGCAGCGTTCCCGGGCGCGCGGGCTCAGCCAGGGTGGGTCGCGAGTTTGGGGAGTGGGGCGGGACGAGAGAGGCGGGGAGTTAGGGCGCGGCTGGCGGCGACCTGCGGTGACCTCTCCGCTGGGGGACAGGGACTGGAATGAAAGGCAACGCGGGCCAAGGTGACGCCAGCATGGCCCGGGCCGCGGCTCAGCCCCCGCCCATGGACGCGCGGCACACAGTGGCCCCTTCTGGGGACACCGGGCGGGGCGCGGGGAGGCGTTGTGGGCCTCTCGGCGGCAACGAGCACTCTCGCCTTCCGCGGGACCCCTCGCCCCATCGTAGGAGTGGTAGTGAGGGTGGAGGGGGACGCGTGGATCGGAGCCTGGGGACGCTGTGTCCTGCGCGCGTTCGGGCGCCCGGGACGCTCTCCAGCTTCCAGGCTCGCGCGCCTGTCTTAACCTCGTGCCGGGAGAACCCAGCGCAGGGCTGGCCCTCCTGAAGACGTGGCGCCGTGACCAGGGCTGCACTTGGCTACCCTTCCTGTCCTGGGAGCCGAGGCCAGCTCCGGGCGCCTGGCCCCTCTGGGCGGCTGCTAGCACGTGGGCTTCGGGGTGAGGCTGGAGATGGCAGGCCGAGGCGTGGTCACCGCCCCCGGGGCGCCGCCCCCGCTCGCTTGCTCCCTCGCTCTCGGGCGCTCAGGTCTTTGGGGGGCAGATGCGAATTTCTTTACTGCAGGAAAGAGGAGAGAGCCCAGCCCCAGACATGCCCGCAGTAGAGGCAGCCTGTGAAACTTGAACCTTGGTTCAGTCCATAGGCAGCTGCAACTTAAAACGCACCTAAAGCAATTCACACGAGGAGGCAACATTTCCTTTTCTCTTCCGTGCTGGGATTGCAATTAGGGCTGTGTCGCTGGGGTGTGTAGAGGGTCAAGTTATAGTGGAGTCTGTGACTTTGCAGCTAAACGTTTGCTTAATTTCGGCATTAATTTGTGAAAGAACCGTTTTGTTAGGTTGAGAGAGAGAGAGAGAGAGAGAGAGAGAGAGAGAGGATTCCATCAAAGCAGAACGAGATAGGAAGACAAGTGTTTTTCCTATCAGATCAGTTTGAGGATGCTGTTGAGTTGAACATCTTACCTGGGGGCACCTTCCCCTCCATGGGGCTTAACCCTGGCCGGGAAGATGGTGGGAACCAACTCCAGATTCTTTTTCCAGAAAGTACAGCATAGAGAAATGTGACCTTCTCGGTAAAACTCTCATGGAAATGTGTCATTCACATTTTAACTTTTTGCTAGGCTCCCTTCGAAGTTCACAGCCCTCAGTTCTTGGTCTGGTCAGTGTCACCTCTCTGGGTTTAGCTTCCCCAACTCTAGAATGTGGAGTTTGGATGAGACTGAAAGTTCTCTGAGGCCCCACTGATTCTTTACTCTTTGGTTTAAGTGGACAATTATGTAATTAATTAGTTTAATCGGATTTTTTTTTTTTGAGTTGGAGTCTCACTCGGTCGCCCAGACTGGAGTGCAGTGGCCGCTCCCGGCCACCGCAGCCTCGACCTGCTGGGCTTCGGCGATCCTTCCGCCTTAGCCTTCCAAGTAGCCGGAATTACAGGCATGCGCTATCATGCTCGGCTGATTTTTTGCTATATTGTAGAGATGAGGTCTTGCTGCCCAGGTGGGTCTCGAACCCGCGGGCTCAGGCAATCTACTCACCTTAGCCTCCCAAAGGCCGGGGATTACAGGCTGAGCCACCGAGCCTGGCAGTTTAATCGGGTTTTAGGCAACACTTGCTTTTCCTGGCTGTAAATGTCTTCAAGGAAGATTATTTCTAAGGAGACTTGAAATGACTCCCTCTTATCCCCTTCACTTTTCCTCTATCCACTCTTTATGTGATGTCTCTCCCAACATAGCAGCTTTCCACCCTTCTCTTCAGATGAATTCATCCAGGAATGTAAGAATTTCAGGGTGAGAAGGATGCAACCGTGGGGGAATGACAGGCAGCGGCACCTCTTCTGGGCTCTGAGTTTACTTATTTGTACTCGATTCTGTCTCAGAAGAATATGAGAATGAGAGACACTGCCCTCAGGGTGTTTGTCCTGGGAGCCACCACCATCTCTGCATGGCCCCATGACTGGGAGAGGGAACATACGGGTCAGTGCTCAGCAGCTGCTGTTCTACCTGACTGGCTGTGGTGAATTTCTAGGCTAACATCTGAGTTAAACGTGATGGGAGATGAGAGCAAAATAGCAGATGTCACTGGAACAGAGCTCAGCAAGGGAGTGATGGATTAATAGCTGTATTGAAAGGTGGGAGTCAGGTATGGGGGAAGAGTTGCGTTGGAAAAATTTCACTTTCTTAAAGCAGTGTATTTTTAGCTCAGTTCTTTATTCTTACTTTATAATGGAGGAGAAATTGGGCTGTACAGTTTACTGCCTCTATTATGTCAGATTGTTTAAGAAAGTGCCTTGAAACTTACCTTTTGCTGTTAGTTTCTTCTCTACCACCTGTTCCCATATTATTGCCACAAAGACTCCATTGCCTTAAACGTGAAGATGTTCTAGCCATCAAAGTGATGGTTGGTGATGAGTTTGGGTCACAAAGTGTAAGGAAAATAAATATTCAAGACATGAGTATCTTGATTTTTCAAGTCTGAACAGAGATAACATTTGAATTTACTAATGTATTTTTCAACTTTTATGGCAACAGCAATAGTAATGAAAACACTTATCATCAGTGGAAAGTTTTGGGATTGTTGTATGTATTAAATATAGTTTGTCAGCCAGGCTCGGTGGCTCAGCCTGTAATCCTGCGCCTTTGGGAGGCTGAGGTGAGTGGATTGCCTGAGCCCGTGGGTTCGAGACCCGCCTGGGCAGCGAGACCTCATCTCTACAATAAATCAAAAAATCAGCTGGGCGTGGTAGCGCATGCCTGTAATTCCGGCTACAAGGAAGGCTGAGGCGGAAGGATCCCCGGAGCCCAGCAGGTCGAGGCTGCGGTGGCCAGGAGCGGCCACTGCACTCCAGTCTGGGTGACAGAGTGAGACTCCAACTCAATAAATAAATAAACACTAATGAAACTTGTGACATTTTAAACTTAACAAATATATGTTTGCAAATTATTTTTGCTTTCTTTTCCACTAAATCATTCAATGTTGGTGAGCACATGGAGAAAAGGAATTTTCATAAACCAATGGACTGTCATATGTCTGTTAGTATAAATTTGGGGGCTCTCAATTGGCCACAGTTATCAAAAGGCTTTAAACAAAGTGTAGGCCCTGTGTCCATGAATTTCATTTTCAGAGATCCATCCTAATTGAAGCCTTAGACAAAGATTAAAGTGCATGGCTACCAACAACATCATTAATTCAAACAATGGAAAAAATCCCAAACCTACTCAATGCCAAGAATGGGGGGATCATTAAATAGATTGCTTCTCAGCCGGACTCGGTGACTCAGCCTGTAATCCCGCGCCTTTGGGAGGCTGAGGTGAGTGGAATGCCTGAGTCCGCGGGTTCGAGACCCACCTGGGCAGGCGAGATCTCATCTCAACAATAAATAAAAAAATTAGCCGGGCATGGTAGCGTGCACCTGTAATTCCGGCTACTCGGAATGCTGAGGCGGAATGATCGCCGGAGCCCAGCAGATCGAGGCTGCGGTGGCCGGGAGCGGCCACTGCACTCCAGTCTGGGCGACAGAGTGAGA